TAGTGACACTTGCTGTCTTGTCAGCCCCTCAGCTGTTTCCATACTTACTCTTATTACTCATATAGACCTAATTGGCAGAAAACATTGGTTGTAAAAAGATAAAAAGGTAGTAAAATCAATGCAGTCGGATGCTTTTTATTACCTCCTCATTTACTCTTCATTTCAGCACTGACTCGTTATCACCACCAGCTGAGCCATTAAAACAAACACGGAGCATAGATAATGTTTATCTCCTTGCTGTTTCGTTCAGCTCCCAATAATTCTCTTACATCTTATTTCTTCCGCAACCTATCTCATTTTTTAAAATGTCTTCACTTCATTTTGTTTTCTTGTGATCCACCTGATTTTACATACTTATTCTTCTTTGTCTTTTTATTTGTGTTTTCCTTTGAACTCYAGTGCTGAAGCTCGGTCCGGAGGCGTTTAAGTTCGACAGCGGTCTGGAGGCGGTGGCTGTTCGGCAGAATGAGAAGTACTACATCCTGAGGCCAGAGGTCATTGAGACGTACTGGTACATGTGGAGGTTCACCCAYGATCCCAAATACAGGCAGTGGGGCTGGGAGGCAGCRCAGGTAAAACATGTTTAAAAACCACTTCAAGCCATTTGTAACTAGTTTCAAATTCATAAAAATTAAATGCTTTACATTTCAAAGATTTAGTAGAAAGAATTCAGAAAATTTCACCTTTAACATTGCACAGATATTTATATAAAAAGAGATTAAGCTGGTAGTATTCATCAAAACAATGTCTGTGTAGGGAAATGTAGAGGTTAAATTAGATTGTTTGGTCTCTTCTTCCTCCTAATTGTGTTCTGGATTGTAGGGGTTGCTTTAATGGTGCGCAGCTGTTAAAACACAAATGAAAACACTAAAGAAATTAACTGTTTGCTTCTAATGTCTTATTTTTAAAATTGGACCGACAGACAGCATCAGAGAAGAAGAATTGTACTTGGATCAATTTAATCACCGTCATTTTCCCCCGTTGGATTTTGCACAACTACATAGTATGGTTTTAAATAGACTTATTCTTGTTTTTAACTGCTATAATTTAGTCCCTATATCTGTGTCTCATAATCATTTAACCTCAAACAGCCAAGTGTAGAAAAATGTCCCCACATCTATCACTAAGTACCTTAAAAACTGAAAAAGAAAAGTTTCACCTAAAAGAGAAATTAGATGAGAACAAATATAAATACAAAAACTAGTGATGACATGGAATTTTGACTTTATCACAAGTATAGTGTGTGAAGCCAATAACACCATTGTGTTCTGCTGCCTAAATGTATCATTGAAATATTGTAGTAGTGGTAGTGTTTTAGCTACATATTCTATCCTTAAACATACAGACTATCTTCTGCACTGCAGTGACATCAGTTCTTAGTTTGTGAAGTTTCCATAACTACATTTGTTTTCAAGACAAAAATATCAAAAMTAAAACAACTTTTTATGCTTTATGTTTTGATGCTCTTCAGAGGCTGAACAATCCTGGGTGTACGATTACTGTCTGCTGTCTTGGACACTGAATCAGTTGAACAATCAAAAAACTTTTTATGAAGCAGTAATCAAATTTGTTTTTAGTGGTGAMTTAATTGTAAAATGTTCAAGCACATTTTTGAGAACTTAATTGTAGTAATCATTTAAGTAGTAATTGTTATATTCCTAATTACAGCTAATACATATTAGACAAATTTCAGCTAATAGAGGTATTTAATCTTAAAAGATGCGCCTCTTTTAACTCAGACTGTCTGTGAAAAGATTGTTGTGATAGGCAGCACTGAACCTATGTTAGGTCAGTGAAACTGTTGTTTTTTCAGATGGTGAGTGGAGATTTTTTATGTAACAAAACTCATTCTGCTAAAGATTTAAAACCTTCACCTCCATTTCCAGGATGGTGCCATTTTCCTCATAAAATCTACACATTTTCTTTGTCCTTTATAAATTTAAGATTTTTCTTCTTCTTGCTCCCTTTTCACTCGTGTGTAAAAAGTGTTGTAAGAGAATATATTTGTAAATGTGTTATCGAATGAGTAAACTGATTGATGGATGTGTAGGTGGGTGGGTAGGTAGG